TATCCTGTCTAGGTCTGATTGCAGCCTATTTCTCCTGCTTACATGCCCACATCCCCCCACATCTTAGCGTCTTCTGCAAATTTGAACAGGGTGCTTTTTACACCCCCGTCCAAGTCGCTGATGAAGATGTTGAACAGTGCGGGCCTGAGGACCGAGCCCTGCAGGACCCCATTGCCCACATCCTTCCAGGTCAAAAATGACCCATCCACCACCACTCTCTGGGTGCAGCCCTCCAGCCAACTAGTGACCCATTTGACTGTGTAGGTGTCGACACCACAGTCCCCTAAGTTTTTACTGAGAATGGGGTGAGAGACAGTGTCAAAGGCCTTCCGAAAGTGCAGAAAGACTACATCCACTGCTACACCTGCGTCTAAGGATTTTGTTACCTGGACTTCCGTGCAGCCTTGCTCTGGCTTCTAGTTTTACCATCGGGGTGGTACAGAAAATCTCCTCGGAGCTGCTGCTTTCCTGCTTACTGCAGATGGGTGGCAAGTAGTGGGGAGCAGCCAGGGACATGGCTTTACTCAGGGCTGTGCAGCTTCTGCATATCTTTGAGAACATGTGCTATGCACTGATATACCAGACATGGCTTCTCTTATATCTGTGCTACTGTCAAAGAGAGGACTGCAGCATTCTCAGGCCTGCCCACGCTTTCCATAATTTCGCTGGTAAAAATAGGAGTGAAGTCATAGCAGCACAGACTTCAGCATGAGATAGCAGCCCAAGTACATACACAGAGTCCTCTGCTACCACGTCTTCACCGCTGTTGCACTACAGCTCGCAAGCTTACAATGAGCATGCTTGTGCCTCTGTGTATTGCATAGTGTTTGTTTGCTCTCCCCTTGGAGCAGCGGGGGAACCAGGTGGTTCCCCGAGTTGGTCTTCCTTCCACACTGCTCTGGGGAAGTACCACAAGGCTCAGTCCCTTAGCCTGGCCAGATCGTTATCTCACACTGCAGCCCTAAACTATATCTTGCTGTCCTTATCAGCCATCTTAAGGAGGCATTAGAAGAAAACAAGACAAGTAGGTTCTCTAGTCTATATAAGAGTGTCCTCTACAGTTCTTGTCTCTAGTTTTCTTAGTCTAACCTGACATTTCTTGAGCAGTGAAGCTTTTGCCTCTACCCATGGAGAACTATGGTAGATCTCACCATGACGGAATATTTTCTGATGCTCGGCATCTGAAATCTTCTCCAAAGAAAGGTTTCATGAATTAAACCATAATCCTGTGACTGTATCAAGGTTATGCCAAGTTAGAAGTCAAAGCACAAAGCTCCCTAACCCCCCAATATTTTATATTTTATGTGTACTTTTGCAGTAAATATTAATTTGTTTTTTGTTTAACTTGAAGCAGGTGGGAAACAATATTATTCTTTTTTTTTTTTTTCATTTTGCTTTTGCAGATGATCATTCCAGGATATGCTTGAAAGCTGAAAATAGTCACGACAACTCAGACTACATCAATGCCAGTCCAATTGTAAGTACAATAGCTAATGTGAAATAATTCAAATAATCAAGCCTTTTTCCTTGCCTTGTCATTGTAATATGTTAACTTGAGGCAAGTCACTGTTGTGATGACCAAAACTGTCTATATCTAGTTCCACTTCCCAACCACTGTCTTCAGCTGTCATTTGAGTGAGAAAATAGAGAATTTTCCATTCACTTTCACACAATGTCTTTGAAGATTATATACCAAGGAAAATAATGTCAATAGATAACCATTCTTCAGCTTGAGTAATAAAGTCATTTTTTGTACCTGGAAGTACTAGCTTGTCAGCTGTAGTACTGAACATTGTACTTTTAATTCAGCAGATTTTTTCCATTGTGTGAGGAAGATAGCCTGTCTTTTTGCCAGTCTCTGACTTTCTCTCTGACTTTTTGTATCATAAAAGCTACTATATTATTGGAATGATTGCTGTAGCCAAAGAGAACTGGGCTTTGCTTTATGTAAAGCCAGTCAGTGCCACTCCACAAACTGCTATGTTACTATAGTGAGAAGTGTTATTTCCTTCCCCATCTTCATCTGTTACTTTCTTGGTGCCTAGAGATTTACTTCTGCATCTCTACCAGTCTCCCTCTCATCATCCTGAAATCAGAGAATGGAATCTCTATCACCCCTCCAAGTGTCAGCATAGGTCAATGCAAATCTTGAACCGATTCCCTAATGTACCCCATCTGCCCCTCTGCATCCTCTCACAAACTGAATACTGATTTTTCTTTTTCTTTTTTTCTATCTGTAAAATGCATAAGAGCAATAATTTTAGAGATCAGATGTTTCCCTTTTATAGCCACAGAACAAACATAACATGACCCACAGCACTGCCCTGTCCCTGTGTCTATTCCAGACCTGGAGGGACTGTCTTTAGGGAAAATAAGGCAACATGTCCTTGACCTTTCTGAGGCTTCCAACAAAGGGGCCATTACAGCTGGTAGTTTGTATTCATGCTACTTAAGCCACTGAACAATTACCAAGAGGAAACAGCTTTGATTAAGGATTTAGGCTGGAGAATTAGGTGACACTGTAGCAGTCTGTGTATCCCATTACCAGTTCCTGGATCATCTTCCAGTGTCACTCTCCCAATTAAATCATTTTGTGTGGGCAATGCAACTAACAAATTGCAACAGATAGATTTGCAGTTACAAGCTATTTCCTTCCAATTCTGTTGACAATGCTTCCCTTTTAAAAAGAATAGTGTAGGGCTTATCCTCTGAGCTTTGTATTTGGTGCATTGGGCAGTGTCTTTAAAGGTTTAATTTTCACAAGTTTAATGAACTTGCTTTCCAGATAATCAGTTCATGATACAAACTCTTCCAGTAAAGGTCTTCAGGGTGATATCATGTAAGCTTTATAAGGGTTTTATGCCTCATATATACTCTGAGGACCAGATTCATCCCATTCTGGCTACTTTGTGGTGCTCAGTGATGAAAGAAGTTATCATGCTAATGGATTTGCCCCACTAAGGAAATTCTATATGTAGGGTAATCTGCTGATGATGTAGTAGTTATCCATAATCCAGGGTCTGGGGAAAAGGGGCATGACCAGAGCACCTTTACACTTCAGTGATGCCCAGCAGCCAAGCTAGCCCTTTGGGGTTGATGGCAGTTAGCATAAGTTAGAATAGGCCTTAGGCTACTGGAAATATTGTATGAGAGGGAACCAGCATCTTCCAGGATAGAGCCCATTGTCTGGTTTAGTGCAAACTGCAAAGAGAAGTTCAGAGTTCCCCTCCCCTGGGGCAGGGGCCCTATGTGGGAAGGAGGGAAGGACATGACTTATGTTTGGGAGGTAATTTGTTTTTTAGAAAAAAACTAAACTTGTCTTATTCCAAGGAAAGAAACTCTCAAGATGAGAATTATTGTCCATTGGCTTATTTTCTTGCATTTGAGTCAACTGGAAAACAACAGACTACATAGTACGTACAGCGACAGATTGCTCGACAGCACTGACTACTTTGCAAGGGCACACTGGAAAGCTTGGTACCACAGGCTTTGTAAAGTTAAGCTGAATAACACATTCTCGTCACTGTGCCTCATTATAGTTGTGAGTTTGGCATCAGCTCTGGACTGGATGAGCCATTCTGTTTTTTCGGCAAATCCTAGGACTCCAGTTCTCTTCCCACTTTCCCCTAAACCAGATCAGGACCCACTTGGAACTGGCCCCATATATAAAGCCTGATTCTCTAGTCCTTACTTATAAGAACCAAAGAACTGCCATTTACTGGATCAGATCATAGGTCCAGCTTGCCCAGTATCCTGAGTCCTGCAGTAGCAGAGAGTGGATACTGAAAGGGAGAGTGAACAGGGTGACCAGCATTTTTTCTGCTGTTCCTCTCTCACTTGCAGCCCCCAGCATTCGAGGTCTAGGAAGTTCTGATTCAGAGAATGTCCTCCTAACTTTCCTACTCGGGCAATACATCCACTGAAACTCCACAGAGACTTCCCTGTCTACTGCCACTGCTTTTAGTTGAGAATTTCCTCTTTGCTTTTAACAGCTATGCACTTGGCCCCTCTTGCTGCAAATGCACAGTAGATTTGAAATACCAGTGAAACATCCTTTGTTCCATCTTGCAAAACCAGACATTTTTTTTTAAAGAATGCTGCTTTTCAACTTACACAAACTCAATAATTATCATGCCAACACAATGACTTTTTGGTGCATTTGTGCATTGCAGTGGTTGAATTAGAACTGACCATTATAGTGTACTGCTAGGTGGGCATTAATAACACAAGATCAGTACAATCTGAAAAGAACTAGAGGAGGTTTTTTCCCTCTGCACATGAGCCGTCTGATGGGGGTGGAGTGTGAAGTAAAGTAATTATATTCAAGCTTCAGAAAAGGAGGCCTCCAATGGTGTACTTGCCCTTAAGTATGTCCAGCTTCTGGGTCAGTGGTCCAGTCTCCTGCTGGGGCTCACTCAACCCTGATTTAAGTCTAAATGAGTGCAGCAATACATGCTGAAAAAAATTCTTTGCACTAGACAATGAGCTGGCCACCTGCCCATATGCTTCTTTCTTTTTAAAACTGCTACCCCCCTCAAGATCCTCCATCCCTCCTAATACATTATGAAAACTGAGGTTAGACTTGTGGCCTCAACATGGTGGAAAGCGTGTGAGGAAAGTCAGCAGAGAGATCTAATCAAAGCTTATTCCTTATCCCTTCATTTTTATTCTTATGTAAAACCAGGTAGACAGTATTTTTTTATGAAATTCCATGGAGTAAAAAGTAAGGCAGAAGCCTGTTTCCTCTGTTCTGAAATAACATAAAGTACTATGATAATAACTGCTACCGGCAGTTGAATGAAAAGCTTGCAATTACAGCACAAGGAGACCCTGACTGTGCAGAATAAAACTGTGATAATTACATCTGTCATATTTGTACTTAGTCCTCATTAAATTTCAGGGAAATCATCCAGTAGTAAATAATGTGCAATCTTTGCTTTTAAATCAGAGGTCATGAAAGTAAATGGGAATTCTGGTTTTCCTCATAGGGTGTCTGAAAGAAAAAAAACCCATCAATTACATTTAAAAACTCAGCTTGCTTATTATTGAAGACACCAGACTGAGGAATGTCATTAACGTGACAGTTTGCTCAAACACAGCATACAAATGTTATCACTAAGAATAGACTGAAATTCATAATGGCATTCTATAATCTACCTGATTTCTGAATTTCTTCCTACACACAACAGGTATTAATAGCACCTCTTTCTTTTGATAGGAATTGATATCCAGTAATCAGTTATTTTTTTTCTGCTAGCTGTTTGTCTGCTACCCCTGGAAATTTCCCTTCCCCCTTCCAAGTTCACAGTTCTACTCTGAGCTCTTAACATTCACTATTTTTGCTTGCTTCCTCAGACTTAGAGAAGAATGTCTTGCATTTAAAAGCTTTTCTAA